GGCACTCAACGTGATCTTCTGTTGCTGGAGCCCATCTGCTTCAATATTTACAAAAACTTGGCTGTAACATTCGAGTTAGTGTCTTACTATTAGTTCAATGTAATCGGGCCCAATCTCCCCTGACCTCTGACACCAACAAGGCATTTCTATTCATGGAACTGCTGATTACTGGATATTTTCCTTTTTAGACAATTGTCTGAATGCTTGTGTGGGAAAATCCCAGTACATCAGCAGTTTCTGAATTAATTAGGGCAGCCTGTCTGGCACCAACAACCATTACACATGAAAGTCACTCGAATCACCCGTTTTCTTCATTCTGATGCGCCGTTTGAACGTCAGCAGGTTGTCTACATGCCTAAATGCAATGAGTTGCTGCCATTTAAGTGGCTGATTAGATATTTTTGTCAAAGCTTTGAAAATGTAACGGTCCGCTACAACCTCTGGTGTACGTTTTGGAATAACTTTGAGAAAGGGTATTCAAAAAGGGGGAGGACACAGTGAATTTCAAGTATACGCAGTATACAGAGATGGGCAGTAACGTGTAATCTGATTACTTTTTTCAAGTAATGCGTAAATTAGGGGATTACTATTGCAAAACAGTAATTAGATTGCAGTTACTTTCCCGTAAGCATGTTGCATTACTGTGTTACTGAACCGTGATTTTGTTTGTGAGAGTGTCTCATGACAGTGCCGTGGCAACAGACGTGTGTAGATCAATGGATAATATGGAGTGTGGGAGAGAGTCCATCCATGCTGCATTTAAAGTTTGGAAGTACTGACATTACTTTGAGTTTGACTCCGTAAAAAGTGACACAAACATTAGCGTTCGCTGTTCACACAGCGTGTGGGAAGAAAACTTCTTTCTACAGCAAAAAATTTAACTTCAAATCTGAGCGAGCACCGAGCTGCCACGAGAATGTAAAATTCTAAAAGAAACCCCCAAATCCTCTCACTGACATGACCTCTGCAGCACTGGGCAAACCTCCACCTGCCCCACTCCTGCTAAACAGGTGACAATACCTTTAAGAGCGACAGGACTTAGTGCCACTGAGTCTTTGATTTCATTTATTTATTTTGCTGCGTTTTACTTGCATCTATTTGAAAGAGTGTAAACACAGAACATTATTTTATTTTGTATGCTGGAATATGCAGAAAATAGGTTTAAATGTTAAACAAATGTCTTCAAGTCAGAGAATATTGCATATAATTTAATTTTTGCTCGATGCATAAAGTTAAAAGATTAAAACTAATCAAACAAGTTTTAAAAAGAGACTTTTTCAATTTTATATGCAAAAAAACAGATTTGGGTCTATTGCTTTATTACATATTCAGGTTGTGTATCCTGTTTTTAATAAGTAACTAAGTAATAAAGTAACTAATTACTTTTGAAAATAAGTAATCAGTGAAGTAACAGGATTACTTTTTGGAGAAGTAATCAGTAATTAGTAACTAATGACTTTTTTCAAGTAACTTGACCAACACTGGCAGTGTACACAACTGTTTATATTCGGGTTAGGTCGAAGGATTAAAGAAAATTAAAACCTACCAAAATAGTTTGGTTTGCACTGGTTTCAGTAAATGAAGATAAAAGTAAAATAAAAAATTAGGTGAAAGCTTGGCAGAGACTTTTCCACCTAAAATTTTAATGAAATATTTGAAATATTTACAGTGAGGAAACAGGATGCAATATCAATGACACTGTAAAAGCACTCATTTTAGTAAGCATGGTTAAGCGCGTCTTCATGAGATCGG